CCTGGATAGGTACACATCAGCGGGGTGTCAGACTGAGCTAGCTAAGACGCCCCGTTGCAATACGAATCAAACGAGCCCAAACTCGATGGTATTGTGTCGTTTTATTGCAAAGTTCCTATGACCACCGTGCGGCTCCATCATCAGACCCTGGTTACTATGTAGGATTGAAGTACTCGTCAATACGAATAAAACGAGCCCAAACTCGACGGGGTTGTGTCGATTTATTACGGATTTCATAAGGCCACCTTCCGGCTCCATCATCAGACCCTGGTTACCATGTAGGATTAAAGTACTCGTCAATATAAANTTTTTTGTTGTTATTTTATTTTTCAATAATATTTTTATTTTAATCTTTTAGTTAAAGAGCATACATTTTGCAAGCTATTTAAAAACCCTTTATTGATACCCCACTCGATAGGTTTTAGAAATTTTTTTATACATATTATGGCGCCAAAAATCGGCCATTTTTATATTTTCCAATTTTGATATACCCAGTGTCACTTTCACAGTTAACAAATCTAACGATACCTCACATGCCATAGTTTGTTGAGTTTCACAATATGGCGTCCAGTAGTCGCCATATTGAATTTTTACTAACATCATGTCTTTAGTGACACTCACCGGACTAAGAGAAATCGATTGACGTGCGAATCATAAAAATCGACCCAAGAGTTTGGTGCTTCAAAAACATACATACATAGGCTGTTAGACACACCACTCCTTTGGGTCACGCAGTCGGGTAAAAAACGAAAGACTAGACCAGTCTAAAAGCAACGTTAAGCTATTAAATAATTAAAAACTTACTTTTGTCTAAGAAAATAGGCTTTCAAGAATATTAAAAGCTTCAAATTCGAAACTCGAGAATTCTCGAGCTCCGGTAATTTTTTTCTCGTCTCGAATGAAGCCAAATTTCTCGAGTTTTCTCGAGTTCGAGAAAGCTCGAGCAGAAACCCTACTCCGGCGCCCAAAATCATTTGGGTGTGTTTGAGACGACACCCCTTAAGCCCCCTACATATCTAGTATCCTCAAATTCAGGCAACTAGATTTGTCTATCTACACTAGTATTATAAAGAGGAAAACTTTGTTTGTTTGGTTGTAATGAATAGGCTCAAAAACTACTGGACTGTTTTAAATTTTTTTTTTTTACCATTTGAAAGCTACATTATCCACGAGTAACATAGGCTAAATTTTATTTTGGAAAAAAATAGGATTCCGTAAAATATGTAGATAATGTAGTCCAAGCGCGCGAAGCCGCGGGCAGAAAGCTAGTTATTGATACAAAAAGAAGAAGAAGGCAACTTGATCCTAAATCCAACTCTAATCTTTCCTGTTGAAATTCTTCAGCTATCAACACATACCAACCTAAGCACACTAATATGCTCCGACTGCGTGGCCCAGTTGCGGGCAGCGAGGGACTTCAAGGCGTTGGTGTTACGGACGGAGGAGCAACTCATGGAGGAGCTACAGAAATGCGACAACGAGCAGATGGTTCTAGTCAATGGTAAATGTACTTATTATTAGGCGTTGATGATTTTTTTGCTGATGATATTTCTGAGTATACATACTCTCCCAAAATTCAACGATAAGCTGGTGCCATGATGTGCACATAGTCATGATAACATGACATGACTTTTTTTTTTCTTATTCCTAAACCTTAGGAAAAGTAAGAAAAACTTTTTTAAATAGATAGAGTCCACCATATATGGCACCAACTTATTGTTGAATTTTTGGACACAGTGTATATTTACTGTCAGTTTAGTTTAATTGTGTAATAAACATACTTTGAACCCTTCCTGGGTAAAGGCCTTCACACTAGAACACAGCTGTCTGTCTCTGCACAGGCTAAACCAGTCTTTCCTAATAAAATAGTATCAGTAATTAATACATAAATTATTCCTAGTTCAGGCATTAATTTCACTTATTAAATATTATGAGATTAACCTCTTGAAAACAGTCAAATAAGTTCCACGACGGCATTTCCATCAAGTGTGGGGTGGAGTTTCGTAAAATCCGTTCTTAGCATGTATAGAGCATTTTAAATTTCAAGTCTCTTACTTCAAAAACATACTAACTTCTGACGCCCCTTTTATACCCTTAGGGGGGTTGATTTCTAAAGATACATTATCAGTACACCTCCATAACATCTAGAGAGCATACATTTTAAATTTCAATTCTTTTACTCTAAAAACATAGAACTTTTATTCAATAAACATTTTATTTATTTGCTGATTTCAGTGCCCATACCAAAGGAAACGTTAGGGACAACGGTAGGCTTCAAAATTGAAGTCAACGACTTTGGAAACTTCACTGAGACCAAGCAGGATGCTGAGAGTGACGAATGTACGCAAGAGGTGACAATTACACTAAACGATGATAGCAACTCTGATACGCAGATCAGCTGGAATGATTCTGATTCAAGTTAGTATACTCAATAGCCCCTTTACTAAGAATCCCTTCCATCTGGCCACTAGTTCTTAGTGACAAATAAAAACCGGCCAAGTGCGTGTCGTGCCACGCGCAGTGTAGGGTTTTTTCTTATATTAATCTAAGGGTTTTTTATTAGGTATGTATGTAATCCAGGATGATTCCTTCTTCAGGAAGCCAAAACAGCGAAAGTGGACATGGCTGCATCCCAATGGCGCTATAAAAAATGAGATCGACTTCATCTTGTCGACGAAGAAGCATATATTCAATGATGTCTCTGTGATCAACTCGGTCAAAACAGGAAGCGATCACCGAATGGTAAGAGGCACATTGAATATCAGACCCAAGCTCGAGAGGCGTCGACTGATGAAGTCTACGCTCCGCCCAGCGCCCATCCAACTCCAAAACCCCGAAATCTTCAGCTCGAGTTGCAAAATCGTTTCGAATGCCTAGTAGACTGCGAAAATGTGGACGAATACAATGACAGGTTCGTGGAAATTGTCCAAACGACTGGGTCTAAGTTCTTTAAAACCCGTCGTCAAAAAGGAACCAAAAAGATCTCTGACCTCACCAATAAACTTATGGAAGAGAGACGAAACTTGGTTCTGCAGTCCTCTGAAGATGCTGCTCAGTATCGGCGTCTTAACAGACAGATCTCCAAGACTTTGACTCGCGATCTACGCCAATTTAATACAGATCGTATTAAAGAGGCGATTGAGCGTAACAAAGGCTCTAAAGTGTTCGCTAGGGATCTGTCTGTTGGCCAAAGTCAACTGACCAAGCTGAAGACCGAGGATGGCAGAGACATCTCGTCGGGGCCTGAGTTATTGGAAGAGGTTGAGAAGTTCTACGGACAATTATACACGAGTGTACGTACACCTGTCACAAATCTAGCCGAAGACCCAAGAGCTAGACTGACCCGACACTACACCGAAGATATCCCGGACGTCAGCCTGTACGAGATTAGAATGGCTCTCAAACAGCTAAAAAACAACAAGGCCACCGGGTGATGATAGAATCACGGCTGAGCTTCTGAAAGCAGGCGGAACGCCGGTACTAAGGGCTCTTCAGAGGCTGTTCGATTCCGTCATACTTGAGGGAAAAACGCCTACGGTATGGCACAGAAGTGTGGTGATACTTTTCTTCAAAAAAGGCGACAAAACCTTGTTGAAAAATTATAGACCCATCTCACTTCTGAGCCATGTCTACAAGCTGTTTTCGAGAGTCATCACGAATCGTCTCGCACGCAGGCTCGACGACTTCCAGCCTCCCGAACAAGCCGGTTTCCACATACATACGCTACGGCAGATTATACAGAAGACCGAGGAGTATAATCAGCCACTTTGTCTGGCGTTTGTGGACTATGAAAAAGCCTTCGACTCGATCGAGACCTGGGCAGTGCTACAGTCTCTCCGACGGTGCCAAATTGACTATAGATACATCGAAGCGCTGAAGGGCTTGTACGAAAACACAATGTCGGTCCGCCTCCAGGATCAGAACTCAAAACCTATCCAGTTGCAGCGAGGGGTGAGACAGGGAGATGTCATATCTCCGAAACTGTTTACCACCGCCCTGGAAGATGTTTTCAAGCTCCTGGACTGGAGCGGATTCGGCACAAATATCAACGGCGAGTATATCACCCACCTTCGTTTCGCGGACGATATCGTAGTCATGGCTGAGACCGTGGAGGACTTTTTGGGGTAAAAACCTTTCCTTTAATGAAATGAAGGTTAGAACTAGGCTTTTAAATGGTACCAATATTGGTGGGAAGTTGGGATGCATACGTTTGAAAATGCTTGTCGCGGGAGGTGCGATTTATTTGACTTCGAGTGTATTAGAAATATGTGCTAAATTGCAATTAAAATGTACTGTCTGTCTGTAAATAAATATTATTTACTAGCTATAAAATCTGCACCTACTCTAATAAACTGTAGCCAAACTGTAGATGCTTGAAAACCGTTAAGTGGTCTTTTAAATATGACTTAAAATTTACAGGTGATATACTAAATCAAGATACAGTAAAGCAGGAGTTCAGTAGTACAGTATCTGTAAAAGAAGAAATAACGAGCAATGGGGAATGTTCGGAAGAAGAGTCCAGCAAATATAATATGTGTGAAGGTTAGTGATTCATTGCTATTATTATGTAGTCGGCCGTTTGGTGTAGTGGTTCAGAGCGGACTACTATGCCGAGAGGTCCCGGGTTCGATTCCCGGCCGGGCAGAAATTGAAATGATGAATTTTAATTTCTGTGACGGGTCTGGGTGTTACTATGTATAATATGTATGTTTTTAAAAAAAAAAAAAAGTATACATATAAGTAGTATATCCGTTAAGCTAGCACCCATAACACAAGCATTAAGTTGCTTACTTTGGGGCTAGCTGGCGCTGAGTGAAATTGTCCAAAGATTTATTATTATTATGTTTGTACGCTTTGGAGCTCACGGGTCAAAAGTGGCCCGGTCCTTTATAAGGCTTGCGTGGGGATAGAGATCCAACACGTAGAGGCCGTTTTAAGCGCAAAATAATCGACAATATTATTATTATTATTATTCGGCATGTGACGATGCACAGCATCTGGTGAGAGATGCGTCTACTCACTGCTTACTGCTGGACAAAGGCCTCTCCTAAGAAATTTCCGCAATGACCAGTCCTGTGCAGTCCTCAACTATATGCTTCATGCTTTTTGGGAATAAATATACCTATTTCTTTCCCCTATTTTATAATTTCAATCAGCTGAGTGAAAGAGGCTTGCTTATAGATAAATACATAAGTAAATAGATAGAAAGTATTTATTATACAGTGTCAAGCCCCAGATCTAAAGTAAGATTTACCTGTAATATGTAATTTATCTATGTAAGCCCAAGGTTTTCAGGTCAGTTTGGTTCATGTAGCCTTCCATCATGGAGACTTGGCGATTTATGTTGTCTTCAGTTTTCTTTAGCACCTTGTTTTCGAGTTCAACAATCGAANGGGGTACAGAAATATTAGGATACATCACATTTATGAATATTATAGTTATTTATTCGAATGATTATGAGTTTCGATCATTAGTATAGAAAAATATATGAAAACAAATTTTAGTAAAAACTAAATGTATGATTAGTGATATTATGAATATCAATGATTATGTTTTTAAATATGTAGGTTTTAAATTTTTTATGAAAAATGATCATTATGGTATCAAATTGTATGAGAAATATTTTCGGACCTCCAATGATAGGAATTGAAAAGTTATGTAAGAAAATGCGCTACCTAATAATTTTGCTGTTGTATTCATTGTGCGAGTGAATAGTGAAGTCCTTGGATTGTAATACACATCCTTGCGCTAGGTTTACTATTCCAGATGACGTCATAGAGTGCGACGTCACGTCAAAGTTGCAAACCGTGCGCAAAGTGCAAGCCTCGCAGCAAACGGCCAGCCAGCTGTTCGCTTCGTGTAATTCGATCCAGGCGTCATTGCACGACGCTGGCCTGACGTCACAAGTTGTCCCCGAGCTGTGACTCAGTAACTTAGCCTCGCACGGAGCATTGTAGTTATGCAAGTTGAAAATAGGTACATTTTTATAACATAGATAATTATCTGTTTTGACTTGAGTACACAACTTCAAATCAGTTTCTGTAACAGATATGTAGGTGTTCTTGTGGAAGTTGACAGCAATGTATTGAGATTGCAGGTTTATAATTGTTGTACCCTTTTCAGTCTTGACAGGCAGTGGAATCATCTTGTAGATGAGGAAATCTTCGTCTGAAGTGAGTGGAATGTGAACTTCAAACAAAAAGTAATCTGAAGTAACTCTTGCTTTTGCGTACAGTAGTTTGTAGACTGTTTTGATGTCTTCTCTTATGTTTTCCACAGGTAAGGTTAATGATTTCGGCAGTTTTCCAGAAATGTCATTAAGTTGGTCAATCAGGTTCACTGGAGTAAGTAAATGTCCTTTATAGACGTCTGTGAGTGTGTCGAATAGCATGTCTTGCATAACTCGCATATTTTTAATGAGTAAATATGCCGTCAGTGACGCTGAGTTGAAATAACTAGTGGCCATCATGGCTTCCATAGTTGATTCGATCTTGGCTAAGTTGGTGTCAGTTTGGTTCATGTAGCCTTCCATCATGGAGACTTGGCGATTTATGTTGTCTTCAGTTTTCTTTAGCACTTTGTTTTCGAGTTCAACAATCGAAGTTTGATTTTTTACCAGAGTAAGTAAATAGTTTTCATTGTTTTGTAAGGTTTCAATGTCCTTTTGGTACTTGTCAGCGAATTGTTGATCCAAAACTCCAAACAAGGTGTTAGCGATACTGCCAATGTCGTTGATCAAGCCTCGTTTTTTCCGTTCGTAGAGGTGTTTATGCGGCGCTAGCAGAATCATGTTGTAAAAGTCAAGAAGTTCCATCTCGTGTGATAATTGATGTAAAGTTGTTTTGCAGTATTTGGGATCCGTTTTGTCACACAGATCGCTTAAACCTTGAAGGTAAGTTTTGAGTTGGTCAACTTTAGTCCAATAATTAGTTAAGTTGTAGTACATAAGCAGTAGGGTGTCCCAGGCTAGTAGGGCGAAAATTTTTTTTTCGATTTCAGGTACGCATACCCTTTAGTTTTTTCTATTTGACCCTAGCAACTAAAATATCAAATATTATTAGTATCGGATAACTATAACCCGTGCCGACTTGACGTCAAACTTTTACCAAAAAGTTTGTAGGTATGAAGCTGTATAGGATACTGTAGATTGTGGAACTTAACGTTTGTTTATTTTTTTTTTTTAATTTATTTAAGGCATCAAACAGTCATGTATAGTTACAAGTTTTACATAAATATTAAGTTTTTACAATAGACCAAACAGTGCCTGTAATTGTACATTATTGTTAAAAATAAATAGTTCAACAGACGCGTATCAGTTTGCTAAACAAATAAAAATACAGAAAGAAACAAGAGAACAGAAGAATAAAACAACATTAATATAAATGGGGTGAATTTAAGCAGGTACCCACATTTACCAATTAAACATAAATCCTTAATTATGTATTAAATACAAGTTCAAAATATACATATGTTTCCAAAACAAAAGTATTTATGTGCTATCAAAACTTTGCGCTAGAGTAAATTTTAATTTGTGTAGGGATATATTAAGTATATCTATATTGGTGTATTCCTNCAATCGAAGTTTGATTTTTTACTAGAGTAAGTAAATAGTTTTCATTGTTTTGTAAAGTTTCAATGTCTTTTTGGTACTTGTCAGCGAATTGTTGATCCAAAACTCCAAACAAGGTGTTAGCGATACTGCCAATGCCGTTGATCAAGCCTCGTTTTTTCCGTTCGTAGAGGTGTTTATGCGGCGCTAGCAGAATCATGTTGTAAAAGTCAAGAAGTTCCATCTCGTGTGATAATTGATCTAAAGTTGTTTTGCAGTATCTGGGATCCGTTTTGTCACACAGATCGCTTAAACCTTGAAGGTAAGTTTTGAGTTGGTCAACTTTAGTCCAATAATTAGTTAAGTTGTAGTACATAAGCAGTGTCCACTCATCGTGAATCATTTGCAGTTTGCCGACAGTGTCATAATATATCGGCCGGTCGGGTTCAAGTGTTGTAATACGAGCGCTTGACGCCGCTTCGCCATATGATCCAGTCAAAACAATAAACATTGTTAATAGTGCAGTAGTTAAGGCTGATAACCCTTTTGTCTTGCTATTTTTAGTTTTCGTTGATTGTTTAGATGTGATTTCGTCTTGCTGAGGCTCTTCAGATGTGCATAGTGGTAGTTTGGAGTTGATTTCAGTTTCCAACGGGAGCGGTGACAGTTTAACGATGGGGCGCTTTATAACGCCAGTTTGAGTTTTCAAAGTAGTCACTCGTACGTATCCGTCAGANTGGCCGAAAAGAAGATACCTACTTAACTCGTAAAAGTGAATAATTTTACAATACCTGGCTATCTCGGTAGTTAATGTCTCGTTTTTACTCGCTAGAGCGAAAAACTGCTACTGGTTAAAAAATAACCGAACATAAAGTGGCTGCTGGTTAATATCTCGTATTAACGCTACTGGTTAAAAAATGACCCGCAAAAATGACTGAATATAAAGTGTTTGCTGGTTAATATCTCGTATTAACTCGCTAGAGCAGAAAATGGCTACTGGGTAACATCTCGCATTACCTCGGAGAAAAAAATGGCTACTGGGTAACATCTCGCATTACCTCGGAGCAAAAGAATGGCTACTGGGTAACATCTTGCATTACCTCAGAGCAAAAATGGCTACTGGTTAACATCGCGCGTTAACTTGGAGCGAAAAATGGGTCAAAGTTACGCGTCGTGTCACAACGCTTATAATAAAAATGTACGAGCACTTGCACAAAATAGTTGTTACAACCAACCTTGTGTTGGGTCTAATTCTCGTCACTACACTGCACAATTTAAAATAATCACGTTTTTTGTCGGTAAAAACGTCCTGGTGACGTCACTTAAGCATTTTTCTTATGTTGCGTGCGGTCGTTGCGCGTGCACACAAAGGAATGAGACCAAAGAATACTCATACTCCAAGAGAAGAAGCGCCACTCCATACAAAAAATATTACCCCAACGTTTATCTGTCAAGTTTAGTTCTTGTGAATTAGGGACAGACTGCGCTACTGTCGCAATTTAATCATTTGGCGGGAAATTTGAAAATCTACCATTCCGTTGATAGCGGGAAATTTAAAAATCTACTGCCTGGGCAGCGCGGTTCGTTCTAAATTTTCAATTTATATTCATTCATTTAATTTCGAGCAAGAGGTAGTGAACTCTTCTAACTCGCTCGAAACTAAACGAATGAATGTTATTACTCCTATTTATCTAGCTGCTTCAATAAAACAAGGATTAACAATTTTTTAATATTTTTATTTTCTTTGCCAGCCTTTTCTTGGCGGATTCAGTGGAGAATTTTCGGTTTTGTGCTAAACAAAATCTTTTGATCATTATTATACATACAGATTGTTCTATCATAATTCTATTGGCTAACCAATGTTCTGGGCATGTATTTAAAAAATTAAAATCAACGTGCTCTCTGATTAATTTAATACAATTTTGTTTAATGTGGTCTGAGTGTGAGTGTTCTTGTAAATGGCTTTGAACAAGCTCAGCGGACTTTTCTACACATGCAGTAAAACTGTGGTTAGCATAATGAAGGCTATGTTTGCCGTCCACATATTCCTTGAATTGAGTAAATTGGTGAATTTCAGTGGGATTTTCGGCAAGCATAGCCTTCTTACAGTTTTTGCAATCGTTGGCGTACTTTTTAAAAATAAACCCACAGACGTATGCACATGCCTGTGTTTCCGCTGAGCTTTCTACTTCTTCATCAGTTATATAAATGCCATGCTCAGAAACATTAGGGCCAGGATCGGGCATGGGTTCATTAATTTTTCTAGTACTTGATTTAGTGAACAGATATTTAAAATTCTCCACTAATTCGCTTCTCCACTAATTGTTCACAATTTTTTTTAGTTTTTACAACATTTCGTAAATTTGTAATTATGCTTGTCTTTAAGCCGGCAATGAATTGAGCGACTGTGGGATTGTCGTTAGATCCACAGTTAGATCTTATGCACCCAAAACAATTTTCTAACGGGTCTTGGTTTATCCGCCTTGTGGCGATGCTATTTACTTTGTGCTTTTTATGCAGGGTATCCCACAATCGCTCATACCCATTTAAAAGTTTTAGCCAGCCCCCTTGTGATGGTGGCTTTCGTTTGCATCCTATAAATTCAATTTCATTAATAAGATGAACAGATTTTTTAAAAAAATCTGTGTGTGGGCTGTTTGCCGTCAAATTAGTTTTATACGGTTTTCCCTCTTGCCTGTCTGGCGCATCCGCATTGAGCAAATCAAACAAATTGTTGAAATGTTCCAAAAAAGTGGCTGTTGCAATAGCTCCTGCAGGCAGCTCATCTAAAACAATCAAATATTACAAGTTTTAGCTAAGCTGATATTTTGACAGCATTTCTTTAAATAGAGAACAGGAATAAGAGACTAAAAAGATAAAAAAATAAAATGAAAACCTGATTTAAGACATTTATGGTCAGAAATCAGAGCCTTTAGCTTTTGGTGCTTGCTTGGTGCATGATTGGTAAATGATTAATCTATATCTTCTATACTTATAATAAATCTGTAGAGAGGTCAATTCTGTACATGAAATATATTTTCAAAATAACTATCAGGGGGTGATTAGTGATCGATACTGATGCCAAAAATGCATCTATACTTATAATAAATCTGTAGAGAGGTCAATTCTGTACATGAAATATATTTTCAAAATAACTATCAGGGGGTGATTAGTGATCGATACTGATGCCAAAAATGCAATCAGTAAAATTTTTGTCTGTCTGTCTGTCTGTCTGTCTGTCTGTCTGTCTGTCTGTATGTTCCTTATAGAAACAAAAACCACTTGACGGATTTTAACGAAACTTGGTACAATTATTCTTCATACTCCTGGGCAGGTTATAGGATACTTAGGAATTCCCACGGGAACGGGAATTAGCGGGAAAATCCTTTTGTATGAAAAATCTAAACCGCTTAAGTTAGACGCTTGAAATTTGGCATGCAGGTACCTTAGTAAACTTAAAGCTTAGTTACAACAGGATAGTGCAAAATTCCCATGGTAACGGGAGTTAGTGGGAAAAAACATTTGTATGAAAAAATCTAAACCGCGTAAGACATACTCTTGAAATTTGGCATGCAGGTACCTTAGTAAACTTAAAGCTTAGTTGCAACAGGATATTGCAAAATTCCCACGGGCACGGGAGTTAGCGGGAAAAAACATTTGTATGAAAAAATCTGAACCGCGTAAGACAGATGAAGGGATCCACGCGCACGAAGTCGCGGGCGGCCGCTAGTTTGGTAAATATGATTATATTAAATCATTTATGTATGTAAATAACTAAAGGGCGGCTTAAGGGTGGCTGCATCTTAACCAATTTTTACACAAAGTATTATAATGACAAAAACTTTCCGAACTCGTTATGCCAAATTATATCAAAATAATTTGATAGTATTATGTTTCAATTTTTCCATAAATAGAACAAAGTGTTTTTGGTTTACTTACTAGTAGATGCTTTAGAAAAAATTCCCATTGCCACGGAGTGACTGAATATCTGGGCAGCCAACTTAACCCTCATTTTCTCCTTCCCGTTGGGTTGGATGTGATTTTGAGATATTTTTGGGGCGAATACAAAGTGGGGGTTGCAATTATCAAGTTCAAAGAACCGTTCAATGTGCTTCCAAGATGCAACACCTGAAATTAGAAAAAAAGGAGTTAAACGATATTTTTTGTACATCCATACTAATCCCAACTATCCCAACTAATATTATAAATGCGAAAGTAACTCTGTCTGTCTGTCTGTTACGCTTTCCCGCTTAAACCTCGCAACCGATTTTGATGAAATTTGGCATAGAGATAGTTTGAGTCCCGGGAAAGAACATAGGATAGTTTTTATCCCGGTTTTTGAAACAGGGACGCGCGCGATAAAGTTTTTCTGTGACAGACAAAATTCCACGCGGGCGAAGCTGCGGGCGGAAAGCTAGTATATTATAAATGGGAAAGTAACTCTGTCTCTTTCACGTCAAAACTACTGAACCGATTTGAATGAAATTTGGTACACAGATAGTCTAGGACCTGAGAAAGGACATAGCCTACTTTTTATTTATAGCCTACTTTTTATTTCTACTAATTATTAAAAGTACCTACCTACCCAAAATCATTATACCACGCGGACGAAGTCGCGGGCACAGCTAGTTAGTAATAAGACTAGGCATTCAAAATAAAGTATTACCTGTCCCTATTGTATTTCCCATGGTTGAAGATTGGATAGGGATGGGTAATTTTACATCATATGTTATGAATAAATTCCTGAAGCACTTCAGGAGATGTGGAGGGTCTGGTAAAGTAACGATTTCCTCTCCTTCAAATTCGAAATAAGGCTTATCTACAGTGGATCCCAGGTTCTCGAGTGCCCTGACGTTGACCCCATCCATGTCGCAAACTGTCGCACATAAATTTATGCCAGTTTGAAGACATTCGTGTAGAACTTGGAATTCATAATAAACATGTGCTATTAGTATTTTCAATATTAAACATAAATATCGAATAATATTCTAAATTTATGTAGTGCAACACATACCTCCTTGATGAGGATAGTTAATCTGTCTGCAGTGACATTATCGCCAGACAAATAAAAAGCTACAGGTTGCTTCCATCTTCGTCTCATCCATACCAGCATAAACACCAGGGCATGGGAGGCCAGTACTTTAGATTTACCTTGAAGCCCATGGTCTTGATAACCATCGATCTCATCTGATTTTGAATTGTAGCAAATATTTTTCATAATAGACATTTCATCAAATGTTAAAAAACATACATTACTCTCTGGGTTTTTCCTTGATAACTTTTTTATATTTTGAAATATAATTTTATTGATTCCGGCCTTTAACTCAAATTTCCCCAAAAGCCTTCTTAGCGTTGACGGGCTTGGCAAGCAAAATAGTCTATTTAGAAGTTTATATGTCCGTGGGGATTTTTTATAAAGTTCCAAGGCCAAAAATTTTTGATTTTGATTCCACCGCTTTCCTTGGTGTTTTCTTTGGCCATTTTGCATTTCGCCCTGGAGCATTAACGCGATTGATGGACTTATTTTTTGCCCAAACAGTGTTTGGACATTTTCATCATAATGCAGCAATTGCAGAACATCAAGCCCTTTTTTTTGTTTTAAAGCAGTTTTGAGTCTGTTGACATTCTTCAATAGGTATTTACATTTATTATAAACTTTATTTTCAGAAGCTGACAGATTTAACTTGGTACTTTCTTCCGTGAAGGTTCTTTTTTCTAAAAAGAATTTTTTTGTGTTTATTTTAGATGTATTATTAAAATTTTGTCATTATTATGACAAAATACTCATATTTATTCTTATTTTATTACATTTCACTTACCAAAAATGGTTCTGAAGGTCCCGATTTGATTTCTGCAGTTGGTTCTTCAGTAACCGTTTGGGATTGGGCCTGCGGAGACACAAAAGTAAAATTATTATGACAAATCTATACTAATATTACTATTATAAATGCGAAAGCAACTCTGTCTGTCTGTCTGTTGTTATTTCACGCCTAAACATAATTCATTTTAATCTCTAATTTGATTGCCAAAATTTCACCAAGCATTTATTTACATTAGTTATGGTAGGTTTATATGCCATAAATACTTGTGGTCATATTTTCATCATGTATAACTTACCAAAAGAGGTTCTGAAGGTACTGATTGAGTTTTGATTTCTGCAGTTGGTTCCTCAGTAACCGTTTGGGATTGGGCCTGCGGAGACACGAAAGTAAAATTATTATGGCAATCTATACTAATATTACTATTATAAATGCGAAAGCAACTCTGTCAGTCTGTCTGTTGTTATTTCACGCCTAAACATATTTCATTTTAATCTCTAATTTGATTGCCAAAATTTCCCCAATCATTTATTTACCTACATTAGTTATGGTACGCCATAAATACTTGTGGTCATATTTTCATCATATATAACTTACCAAAAGAGGTTTGAACTTTGATTTGATTTTGATTTTGAGGTGCTGAAGGTACTGATTGAGTTTTGATTTCTGCAGTTGGTGCCTCAGTAACCGTTTGGGATTGGGCCTGCGGAGACAAGAAAGTAAAATTATTGAATATCAATTTTATTTCTATGATCTCTGTAACATATTATTAGAAAATAATCAGTTATCATTAACCAAATATGGTGGACAAAGTTTACAAATAGGAACTACTTACCCCTAAAACATTATGCTTATTATTATGAGACGGTCCAGCTCTTGGTGAATGAAGATTTTCTTTATTTTCATCCATGCATGGCGTGGCAGATTTATGAAGGCGTATTTTCGCAGTTGTTGTGTAAGCAGAATCTGCGAAATGCTTACTGCAAATAACCTTGCCCGATTTTTGCAAAGTGCCAAGAGCCTTTAAGTTAAACCAGTCTTGGTCTGGGTAACAAAACATTGCCCATGCCATCAATCTAAAAAAAATAGTTGTTTTATTAATTTCAAATTTAAATCTTCATCAAAGACTAAGATCTATAATTTGGTGCGTATTTTTAAATCACCAATTAGAATGTAATGAAGTGAACTTACTGGTAAACATTTTCTTTATTTTTCTTAAGAGACGGGAACCTATGCATCCTCAATTCAGGGTTTTCTGCCTGATTGGCCCCACACTTTGAGCATCTGAAAATAATACTTCACATGAATCTCCATTGACAGACCTTTTATTACTTCATCACGTATTTAGGTTATAATGCGAACTTTTACTAACCTCCGGTGCATATGAGACATTGTGAAAGAACTAGATAACATACAAATTATGATCACTAAAAACTATTGGAGTCTATTTCTCAACAAGTGTCTCAGTAAAACTGGCACGAAAGTAGTCACTCACAACACAACACCTTGTGGTTCACCCAAAGAAACAATACGGAGGAGACACAGATGCTCAACTCGACGTATTGTTGTTTCTTGAGAATCGCAAGAAGAAATTGAGAGAAAAACAAGCAAGCAGATCAAAGAGCATAAAAAAGCAGATTAACTGGCAGCCAATATTTTCTCTCAACAACAGTTAAATTCAAAGTAGATAAATGTCACCAAGAAAGAAATTATGTTGCCAGTAAGAATTAGGAAATTCTACTTAAAACCTACCAAATATTTTATTGTACGAAAAAGCAAGACGTAACTTAATGCTTTTGGAAAATTAATGTGTGATCTTTTTCGATTTAGGTATTTCGTTGATAATTTTCATACTTGCAATGATTTTATTCAGTGATTTTGGTTTTTATGAATCTACCATGCAATATTTTTTACGAATAGTGTCCACACTTAATCTAGAGCAACTACCATACTTTTGTGCCTGTGTGCGTGAGCTCTCACCGATACGGAAGTGATCACCCCCTGAATGAGACCGCTCGGACACCGAGCCCACAGCGTGGTAGGGGTGGGGTTGCCCGCTCTTTTGTTTTTTACTACTACTACGCTGAATATTGTGTGCGGATTGGCTTGTCGTACAGGGGTACTACACGGTAAAATAAATCTCGGAGGCGAAAACAGGATAATCTGAAGTAACTCTTGCTTTTGCGTACAGTAGTTTGTAGACTGTTTTGATGTCTTCTCTTATGTTTTCCACAGGTAAGGTTAATGATTTCGGCAATTTTCCAGAAATGTCATTAAGTTGGTCAATCAGGTTTACTGGAGTAAGTAAGTGCACGTCCATATGTCCTTTATAGACGTCAGTGAGTGTGTCGAATAGCATGTCTTGCATAACTCGCATATTTTTAATGAGTAAATATGCTGTCAATCGAAGTTTGATTTTTTACCAGAGTAAGTAAATAGTTTTCATTGTTTTGTAAAGTTTCAATGTCCTTTTGGTACTTGTCAGCGAATTGTTGATCCNCTAGTCTACAATAAAGCTGTCAATAACAGGTACACATTAATGATTGCAAGTAACTAATTCATATTATACTTTTTATCATTTTAGATATGGACCAGTCATTGACCCCGAAAAGAAATGTAGAGAGCAATGAATTTATAAACGATATAATGGACCACTCAGTTATCCTAGAAATAAATAAAGAAGAAGACAATGAATCTCAAAAAGGTAATTACTTGTGGTGTCTACCACTATGCACCTCAGCTGCAGTTCGGCCCTGATTTCCTGGCGCCGGCCCTGTGCGCCCGCGCCGCGCACTCCCCCTCGCGCCGCAGACGCCATGGCTCGCGCTGCCGATTTTCTTACGTGTCACTTCGCGATCTCAACATCGTATACTTACTCCGCCCGCACCTTCGTATTGTGATATTATAGCGATTGTACTATATTGTGTGTAGCGAGAATATAACTACCTGTGTTAAATTCTAACGGGAGTTTTCTTTTCACTAAGTCCACTTCGTAATTCGTTAGGCTAACTACATACCCTACATTGGTGACCCGGACTGGAACAAAACGTATTAATGGCGGAGAAAGAAGTTTACACGGACGCTATAGAAGATGGAGGAGCGGCCGTCAACCGCGTGGCTGTACGCTTGCCGCCATTTTGGTGCGACGATCCCGACCTTTGGTTTACCCAGGTGGAGGCGCAGTTTGAGACGGCTGGCATAAAGGCTGATGGTACGAAATACTACACTATTCTACAACAGCTGGAGCACAAAACGATGAGAGAGGTACGTGACATTATTATTAACCCTCCAGAGGATGGCAAGTACGAAAAGTTAAAACAAGAACTAATAAAACGACTATCAGTCTCTCATCAGCATCGACTGCGCCAGTTAATGATCCACGAGGAAATGGGGGATCGAAAACCGTCCCAATTTCAATTTTTCCCTACATACTGTTTAATTTTTTTAAATAAACATTAAGCTGTTTTTAGCAAAATTATGGACACTAGTTCATAATTTTGCTAATAACAGCCTAACAGACAATAATTGTCTCTGTAGGAAGTAAATAATAGACTTGTACATAGAATACATACTATTACATACATACATTATCATGTCTTAATCCCTTATAGAGCAGACAGAGTCCAAAGCCGCAAGACCCAATGGTCATTAATATGATATTGATAATAAATAAATAACATAATATTATTTAATGTATAGTTTGATGTTTTAAAACTTTTGCTTTCAGAAAACAAATGGGTAAATTGGCATCCAAAGGATCTCAAAACAAAGATGTCAAATGTTATAAAAATAGACAAAGTCTCCAAAGCGAGTGTAACTGGTAGACTGGATAAGTTAAGTGCAGCCCGATTGGAACTCGTACAGCTGCAAATCGAAACTACAAGGCAGCAACATCAGTTCACAGAAGATGAACACAGACTGAAAATGTTGCATCTTGCTAATGATGAGGCAAGAAAGCAAAAAATTCATGAATTGCTTGTACTACAATTAAAAAATAACAGTAGCGGACCCGTTTTAAATGACATGGTATAGGGATACCCATGCTTACCTAGACAGTCATTATAATATTGCATATTTCTGTACGGTTTAGGTTCCTACCTAATTATAATTATTATTAAAATAAAAATATTCATTAATAAAGAAGAAATAAAAAATTGTTTAAAGTAAAAATGTTTTTATTTAATTATTACTATTATTCAAGGAATTAAAATATTCTAACACTATATTTCTAGTTAAGTACCTTTCTTGTCCAGTGGGATTGGCAATGATGGGGTCAAATATTGGTGGTGGTGGAATGTGTACTTCTGGATCGTTTGGTGGTTCCTCTTCATTTTTCATTCTTGCTAAGTTGTGCAATATTGCACAGGCTACAATTACATCTTGAGCAAGTGGCAACTTACATCTTAATCCAATGCTTAACACTGGGAAGCGTCGCTTCCATGCACCAAAACATCTCTCTATTACATTCCTTGTTCTTATTTGTGATTCATTATACAAACTCTGAGCTGGCGTATTTGGGTTTTGAAAAGGAATCAATAGGTAATTGGTTTGTTCATAACCACTATCACCAAGTACAATGCCATTGCCAAATTCACCATTCTCAAAATGGAATTTTGCCGATGAATTTGCAAATATCATACTGTCATGGCTCGAGCCAGGCCAACGAGCTACTATGTCTTGAAATATCAAATCTGACGAACACATTGCTTGGACATTAAATGAGAAAAAGCCTTTCCTATTTCTAAATACCTCTGCTGTGTTTCCACCAGGCGATTGAATCCTAATGTGGGTGCCATCTATGGCTGAAATCACTCTAGGGAATCTAGCTATTTTATAAAATTCTTCCTGGGTTTTTCTTATTGCTTCACTGCCTCTTGGCAATTGAATGAATGTTGGCCTCAAAGTTGCTATAGCTTTTGTAACTTTTTTTATTATATGGCACATAGTGGAGCTATGAATGCCACCAAAATCTCCAACAGTGATATAGAAACTCCCAGTGGCATAAAATCGTAGCGAAATAAGTAGTTGCATCATGGGTGATATACACTGATTCCTAAAAAATAAATTAAGTCATTAGTATGTATGATATTACATTGGGACCTAGGTAGGTAGGTACATAATTTATAAGTATTTATTATATGATCAAACTGTATGGTTTGTAGGGCCATACATTTATCTGAGTAGAGTTGAAGTTAGTTGAAGTAGAGTTGAAGAGCACGTAGCGAAGAAAAGATCTCCAAAGTTTAAAGTTTATATTGTAGTAAAATACTGACAGAGTTATCGTGGCAAATCTTTTCTTGAGTAGTAGTGTTACGTGGGATGGTTGTTGACGTACTGAGTTATAATAAAGAAAAATACTTAAAATAGTAACTAACGCGCGCCCAAAAAGTAGGACGCAAACGTAAGCGTAAAAGTAAGTGCAATGTACGATGGCTTGCCCGTACATATTGGCAACCCGAAAAGAAAATAAGATGAACTAGGAAGTAAAACTATCAAGATTAAGATATGCCATTACAAAGCAAACAATTTTTTAAATACTAATCGTCAAAACTAAAAGTAACGTGGTTCTTCTTTGGTGCCGCAGTAGCAGGCGTTGGAGGCCGGGACTCGCGGGGGCGCGGCGCCGGCGGCTGGGCTGGGGCTGTGTGTTCTTGACCCACCCCGTAGTGTGTCTTCATTTCTTCCAGTTCAAATGCTTCATTTGTATGAGTTGTTATGCCGTTGTGCTTGATACGGTAATAGTTGACAAGTTTTCTGGTAATCCATACACTCATTCCAATTATTGCTGCACTGAGGAGTGCATAGCATATGGTGTATTGATGAATGTCGTGATTCGAAATGGTTGTGGGTAAAACTTCGTTTTCGTGCAGGGAATGTAGTCGCTCGTCAATTTCTTGAAGTTCAGTATCATGTGTTTCTCGGAGTACTTTCCATGACACATTATGGCGAGTTAATTGGATAATGTTGTTTGCCGTAGAGTTGAGAGTTGGGATTTCGGAGTAGTGGTCGATGTTAATAATTTTGCTGTTGTATTCATTGTGCGAGTGAATAGTGAAGTCCTTGGATTGTAGTACACATCCTTGCGCTAGGTTTACTATTCCAGATGACGTCATAGAGTGCGACGTCACGTCAAAGTTGCAAACCGTGCGCAAAGTGCAAGCCTCGCAGCAAACGGCCAGCCAGCTGTTCGGTTCGTGTAATTCGATCCAGGCGTCATTGCACGACGCTGGCCTGACGTCACAAGTTGTCCCCGAGCTGTGACTCAATAACTTAGCCTCGCACGGAGCATTGTAGTTATGCAAGTTGAAAATAGGCACATTTTTATAACATAAGTAATTATCTGTTTTGACTTGAGTACAAAACTTCAAATCAGTTTCTGTAACAGATATGTAGGTGTTCTTGTGGAAGTTGACAGCAATGTATTGAGATTGCAAGTTTATAATTGTTGTACCATTTTCAGTCTTGACAGGCAGTGGAATCATCTTGTAGATGAGGAAATCTTCGTCTGAAGTGAGTGGAATGTGAACTTCAAACAAAAAGTAATCTGAAGTAACTCTTGCTTTTGCGTACAGTAGTTTGTAGACTGTTTTGATGTCTTCTCTTATGTTTTCCACAGGTAAGGTTAATGATTTCGGCAATTTTCCAGAAATGTCATTAAGTTGGTCAATCAGGTTTACTGGAGTAAGTAAGTGCACGTCCATATGTCCTTTATAGACGTCTGTGAGCGTGTCGAATAGCATGTCTTGCATAACTCGCATATTTTTAATGAGTAAATATGCCGTCAGTGACGCTGAGTTGAAGTAACTAGTGGCCATCATGGCTTCCATAGTTGATTCGATCTTGGCTAAGTTGGTGTCAGTTTGGTTCATGTAGCCTTCCATCATGGAGACTTGGCGATTTATGTTGTCTTCAGTTTTCTTTAGCACCTTATTTTCGAGTTCAACAATCGAAGTTTGATTTTTTACTAGAGTAAGTAAATAGTTTTCATTGTTTTGTAAAGTTTCAATGTCTTTTTGGTACTTGTCAGCGAATTGTTGATCCAAAACTCCAAACAAGGTGTTAGCGATACTGCCAATGCCGTTGATCAAGCCTCGTTTTTTCCGTTCGTAGAGGTGTTTATGCGGCGCTAGCAGAATCATGTTGTAAAAGTCAAGAAGTTCCATCTCGTGTGATAATTGATCTAAAGTTGTTTTGCAGTATCTGGGATCCGTTTTGTCACACAGATCGCTTAAACCTTGAAGGTAAGTTTTGAGTTGGTCAACTTTAGTCCAATAATTAGTTAAGTTGTAGTACATAAGCAGTGTCCACTCATCGTGAATCATTTGCAGTTTGCCGACAGTGTCATAATATATCGGCCGGTCGGGTTCAAGTGTTGTAATACGAGCGCTTGACGCCGCTTCGCCATATGATCCAGTCAAAACAATAAACATTGTTAATAGTGCAGTAGTTAAGGCTGATAACCCTTTTGTCTTGCTATTTTTAGTTTTCGTTGATTGTTTAGATGTGATTTCGTCTTGCTGAGGCTCTTCAGATGTGCATAGTGGTAGTTTGGAGTTGATTTCAGTTTCCAACGGGAGCGGTGACAGTTTAACGATGGGGCGCTTTATAACGCCAGTTTGAGTTTTCAAAGTAGTCACTCGTACGTATCCGTCAGAACCGGGATGAGTTTCAAGCACACGAGCCATGGCCCATTTTCCAGGGGGCAAGTTGTTGTCCTTGACCAGCACGATATCACCTTCCTTTATGTTCTCAGATGCTTTGTTCCATTTGCTTCGTCCTTGTAATTGCGTTAAATACTCGTTAGACCAATTTTTCCAAAATTGTTGTAGCATATTTTCAGTAAGTTGCCATCGCCGACGTAAGTTGATGTTGTCGTCACTGTGGTCGGAGATCGGCAGTGACATCACAGGGCCACCGGTGAGGAAGTGTCCCGGAGTTAAAAAGTTTTGAAATTCTTCAGGATCTTCAGTTAGTGGACACAGAGGTCTGGAGTTCATGCACGCTTCGATCTGTGATAGTAAAGTTTGAAACTCTTCGAAGGTCAGTTTCTGATCTCCGAGTACACGTCGTAGGTGGTACTTCATGGATCTCACAGCAGCCTCCCAGAGGCCTCCTGCTGTAGGCCAGGCTGGTGCGTTGAAGTGCCAATCTACCTCCAGGTGTCCAATGTGGTCGAAAAACTCTGAAGAAAGTTGTAGATGGAATTGTTCGGATTCCTTTCGCAATACTTTAGATGCGCCGACAAAGTTGGTGCCGCAGTCCGAGTAGACATGTTTTGGAGTGCCACGTCGAGCACACATCNAAGTTTTCAAAGTAGTCACTCGTACGTATCCGTCAGAACCGGGATGAGTTTCAAGCACACGACTCACGAGCCATGGCCCATTTTCCAGGGGGCAAGTTGTTGTCCTTGACCAGCACGATATCACCTTCTTTTATGTTCTCAGATGCTTTGTTCCATTTGCTTCGTCCTTGTAGTTGCGTTAAATACTCGTTAGACTAATTTTTCCAAAATTGTTGTAGCATATTTTCAGTAAGTTGCCATCGCCGACGTAAGTTGATATTGTCGTCACTGTGGTCGGAGATCGGCAGTGACATCACAGGGCCACCGGTGAGGAAGTGTCCCGGAGTTAAAAAGTTTTCAAATTCTTCAGGATCTTCAGTTAGTGGACGACAGAATCGCGGCGCGCATCTTAGGCCTACAGTAGGCCTAGGATGCGCGTCGCGATAAGCAGTTATCACGCTATTTTATCGATTTTGCCCATACATTTTGGCGTCGATAAAAGTTATCACGGCGTGCATCTTAGGCCTACTGGTGTCCAATGTGGTCAAAAAACTCTGAAGAAAGTTGTAGATGGAATTGTTCGGATTCCTTTCGCAATACTTTAGATGCGCCGACAAAGTTGGTGCCGCAGTCCGAGTAGACATGTTTTGGAGTTCCACGTCGAGCACACATCCTTTGGAAGGCGGCAATGAAAGTTTCAGTACTGAGATCTGATACCAGCTCTATATGTACGGCTTTAGTTGCCATACAAACAAAGATAGCTATGTATCCTTTTGAAGTTTTAACGCCTCTTCCCTTGTTCAGTTTGACGTCCACGTGACCAGTGAAGTCGACCCCGGTGTGCGTGAACGGCCGGGAAGGTGTTACACGTTGTTGTGGTAGGTCGGCCATAATCTGTTGGCTTTCAGTTGTTTTGTGTCGATGACACCGTATGCAATGACGTAATTTTGCTTTAACTGCCCGATTTCCGCCAACAATCCAGTAGCGTTGTCTTAGATGAGCCAACGTCAATCGAGCACCTCCGTGAAGTGTTGTAAAGTGAGCTTGATCGATAAGTAGACCAGTAAAACGTCCATTCCGCGGGATGATGGCGGGATGTTTCATCTCAAATGGTAAGTTGGAGTTGTTGATACGGCCGCCGACACGTATAATCCCTTTGTCGTCTAAGAAGGGGTTAAGTTTGAACATGCAACTTTTGTTCGAAATAACATCTTGTTTCATCAGTTGTCTGTACTCGTTATCGAACTCTGTACGTTGCACGAATTTAATTATTTGCTCATTAGCAGCTGATATTTCTGTAGTAGTCAAGTGTTTGGTGTCAAGTTTTGTCGTACGGCGCGCGTTTGTAATAAAGCGCAGTATCCACGCCGTGACTCTTGTTACACGCGACAATGAACTGCATTTATTTATTAAGTTTTCAATAAAATGTTCTTGATTTGTTTTCAGGGCTTCCACCTTCTTGGTTTTAAGTTCAGTATTTGTAGTGTATAAACAAGTAAGGTTTTTCATTGACTTTTCAGTTTCAACATTTTGAAGGAACTCGGGACCTTTCCACCACAGCTCAAAGTTTATTAGTTTGCTGGGGTACAGTCCTCGAGAAGCACAATCTGCTGGATTTTGTTCTGACTTAATGTACTGCCAGTTTGTTGATGGAATAACTTGCTTGATTTTGTTGACCCGGTTGGCCACGTATCTCTCCCATCTGGATACGTCTCCTTGCAGCCAGGCGAGAACAACTTGAGAGTCACACCATGCTCGGACGTTAATCGTGTGTCCTTTGAAGGCTTCTTTTATTTTCTGTACAAGTTGTGAAAGTAGTAGTGCACCACATAATTCCATTCTTGGCAGTGTTGTTTTTTGTGTCAAAGGGGCAACCCTAGTCTTTGCAGTGAGTAATTTTATAGTTGGAGGGCCGTCAGGGTTAGCGACATAACTGTAGATGACGCATGAATAAGCCTTCTCGCTTGCATCTGAGAAGCCAAGTAGTTCGATGTTTGATTGCTGGCCCCCTAGCCATCTGTCAAGTTTGACATCTTGGACTAGCGGAAGTTCACTTCTAAGTTTGACCCAATCGTCTTGAATGTCGGAGGGTAGAGCTTCGTCCCACCCTAACTTGGCCGTCCATACTTTCTGGAACAGTAGTTTTGCCGTAATGGTGACAGGTGAGAGCCATCCCAGGGGATCATAAAGTTTTGATATTTCTGATAGTAATGTCCTCTTTGTAAGAACAGCTTTCACGTTGTCTCCCAGTTCCCAATTAAAAGAGAATTTGTCAGTAGTGGGGTTCCAGCCGAGGCCAAGTGTTTTCAGTGATTCATCATGTTTGAAGTCGAAGTTGTTGCGTGATGAAATTTGATCTTCAGTTAAGTTATTTAGTAGAATGGGGTCGTTCGCTGACCATTTTCTCAGGTTCATGCCGCCCAGTTTTAGAAGTTCGATTAGCGATTGTTGAAGTTTGATTGCGTCATCGAGTACGTTGTGACCACTGACAAGGTCGTCCACGTAAAACTCATCTTGAAGTATGCGTGCTGCTTCTGGGTGTTTGTGACCGTCGTCCATTGCAAGTTGTTTGAGAGTTCTCATAGCAAGCCACGGAGCACATTTCATCCCATAAGTCACGGTACACAGTTCATACTCTCGGAGCTTTTCAGTTGGTGAGTCACGCCAAATAATTTTTTGTAGTTTTTGTTGATCTTGAGTTATTTCTATGCAGCGGTACATTTTCTCTATGTCCGCGGTGTATGCATATTTGTATGACCTCCATTTTAAGATAAGNGGGGGTCGACAAAGTGTGACATGGTGTGACAAGGGGTGAGAGGGGTCCTAAGTTTTGTGACATCACATTTCAATTGTTTCAAATAATTGATATAATGTTGATTTCATAAAAAAAGTACTTGATTTAAATGGAAATAAAATTGATGTGAAATTGCAAAACATGTGACGTCACACTAGGGAGGGGGGGGGGGGGTCTCAGAAATGGGAACACCTGTGACAAGGACGGGGGAGGGGTCAAAAAATCATGAAATTCGTGTGACGTACTTTATGGATGGCCCCTTACCTGTAGCGGAGAATAATGTGGTGGCAGGCCTTTGTTCAAACGATCATAGCAAATGTTGTGATAGGGATAGAGACATGCAATTTTTGGTTTTACAAAGGTAATACGATAGAAAATAATACAAAGTAATAAAAACCACCTGTTATAAATTTATCAAAAAACCAAAAAACACGAATTAGAAGCAGTTTTTTTTTTCAAAAGTATCGTTTTTTTATTATTTGTTGGCATTTTCTGAGTATTTTATGTATTTTTTTAGTATTGCCTGTAAATTAACATTGTTACTGTTTTTATTTAATCAGGATATACCTCTTAGTTCAAAAGTTAGGTTTTACAAAGGTAATACGATAGAGAATAATACAAAGTAATAAAAACCACAGAAAAAATTTGGAGAAATTTATCAAATAACCAAAAAAACACGAATTATAATGCAGATTTTTCTCAAAATGTATCATTTTTTATTATTAGTTGCCCTTTTTTGAGTATTTTATGTATTTTTTTAGTATCACCTGTTATTTAGCATTATTACTGTTATTTTATCAAGATGT